TGTTTAGGATCGGATTGGGCTCTCCAGTCCTAAAAACTATTTGAAGTGAAACAAACAATTTCTTACAAGAATAACAACTTAGGTCCACGAACATCCCGTCTACAAGCTGATCCTTGGCAAAACCTCTTGGCATTGATATTTCCTGAATTATACGTCCTCAAACTTTCTATCATTGAATTCTTAATTGCCCCCCACCCCTCTTCTCAATCGAGAATTCTGTGTAGCAGATTGGCACAATAGCATTAAGCTGTTGTCGTACTACGACTTCCGGTGTCGATAATCACAGACAATAGTTCGGTCCAAGTTAAATAGAGCCTAAAAAAAAATTATCAAGCCATCCCAAGATTTATGACTATCTACACAGAGCGTTTCATTCACCATTGCATAATCTACATCTGCGTTCCGTTACGGCTGATCGCTTCAACTTACGATCTCCTATCTTCATATCTCCAGATTGACGCCTATCTAAATGCATCACACCTGCGACCAATCTGTATTTTAAATTTTGAAGAAAAAAAAGATAGTTTAGATTAACGATAAGTTGAAATCATTCACTGCCTTTTTCTCACATTTAATTTTAACAATTTTAGGGTTTTTCTTCTCCTTTTTCAATGGCTGAAAGGGTTAAAATGAGAATAAAGGCAATAAAGTATGTATGGAGAACCTCATAATGCAAATAATTATCTTATATCCCTTCCATTATGCTAAAGGACAATAGCAAAACTTAGAGCTTTCAAGATTCGTAGTTTGAAATCATCCTTCTGCAAAATTTAACTGAGTAGTTGTAGATTGTTTGGTTAAACACTACGCCATGAAAACATATTCCTAGTGTTGGAACCACTTGGGAACTAATATCTGTATAAGGCAACGTTTGGAATTCAAATTCTCGAAATAGTTTCTGATCTAATGTAAAATTAATCAAAACAACCACGACATCAATGACGTCACATTCACAAGTACATAATCCCTCCGCCAAAATGGCAGCTAAAAGGTTCACAAGATTTGACTACATAATGTACGTTAATTGAATACACGACAAAAGGTTTTAAATTCACGATATAAATATAAGGCTTATCTATTTTTCTTCTATACAGCGTCGAGTTGATAATTTCATAATAAGTTCAGTGGACTGAACAATCACAGGTGTTAAATTGCTATAGGTGAATAGGTAAACATAGCATTGTTTGCATAACTTTTTTTTTTATGAAGTAGGGCATGTGCCCTTTATCAGATTGCCCCTCGCCGAAACAGGAACCCCATCCCCTCTCCCCTCTCTCTCGCCTAAAGGTGTTAATTTGTTATAGGTGAATTGGTATACATAGAATTGCTATGCATAACTTTTTTTGTAAAGCAGGGCGTATACTTTTAGTGTTCGAACCAGCCTCCCTAGCCCCTAGACGCCATCCTCAACATATTTTGGTTATTGTTTAGGTTTACATGGCCGTATTAAGTAGGATGTGTTCCTTATTGTGCCCTCCTTGACGCTCCCTTACTCGGCCAATTATTTTGGCAACTAAGTACCATCTTTTAGTAGTCAGCACAACCTAGACCATCTACATCCAGCGATTGATAACATCATCGCAGATTTCATCAACTGCTAACAGCCAGTAGACCTAAGATTCTGTTAGTCGAAAGGGGTCGACCTCAATTCGCTCCTCCCCTCCTCCTCCGCTCAGCCCCTCAGTATCGTATGTTGGTGCCCCAAGTTGAAACACGCAGTCGTTTGAAACTTGAATCAGATACAGTGCCGTATGTTAGAGCTTTGAATGTAATATTCTTGCTTCTCGTGGGTCTGATAAGCACCAGAAACAATACATCAACGACCGTCCCCATAAATTACAACTGTCGTGGCGCGACGTTAAATGATCACAGAGACCGGCAATTGACAAATTGACGCGAGCAGTGTACAAACAATCATTTAACATTGAGACCGAATTGCTTTTTGATTTACGGGTTTTAGTTGACGATTATCAAACGTCCATCATTATGCGCTTGGGATTACACGGAACGACTCGTAGTTTTTGTTATAATGTGTTTTATTAGGGCCTAATGTAATTGATAGTCATCAACCATTAACGATAATACCCTCTAGGATATAATGATGACATTGTTATAAATTTACATGCGCTTGGAATTTCGATTTTGATTGTTACCTCAACCCTTTTTAGGTTGTTTTTTTTTTTTTCAAATTTTATTAATAGATATGCATATGTTTAATGAAGACCTAACTCTTCCTGTCGTACAATGTTTCGTTTCGTATCTATTCTTTATTTTAAAACCGTTTTCATCGAACATTTCTTCGTTTCGTATTAGGTTCTTATATTTTTGGTTAACCTTCAACTGGGAATTGATTATTAACAATTGGCGGAGGCGACAGACTTTTTTATTAAGCATTTTTAAAATGATAATTAGTCGTTTCGTATGATATATTCTTAAATTTTCAAAGAACCTTATGCAGCATTCGTAGGCCGCATTACAATTGTCAATACTTGAATGTACCATGTTCAGTTCTTCGTTAGATTTTCGCTTTTCAATGGGAACCAAATCGGATGATTAATTCGTACTCGTATAATCGTTTCGTATAATTATTATTTGTTAGTGAACCGACGATTAACTCAAATTTCGGATCGAGATAAAGATGGAAACGAAACTATTATTTAATATTAATTAATTGCTAGAGTGGGGTTTAGTTTGTATTTTCCCTTTGTAAGTTTTTCCCTAGTCACCGCCTCGATGACTTTCAATGACTGCTTTCAAGTGTTTTTCGGGGTTTTAAGCAGAGTCTTGCAAATCTGATGGGAAACTTCGACAAACGATAAAGAAACGCATTGAAACGTAGCGAGGTGAAACAAGTTACTTGTGGCGCTGATGTGATCTAGTTCATCCCCTTTTCTTTACTCTATAGAATAAATTTAATAATCTTTTTTATTAACAATTCGCGTTTCTTTAGCCTACTTTATGGTTATTATATAGTTAAACAATGGCGAACAATGCCTGAATAAGGAGATCAACAATGGCGGACAATGAGTGAATAGCGAAGCCATTCAAAAAATAAAAACATCCTTTTCTACGTTTTATGAGTATAAACGAAGAATATTTTGATAAATTGTGACTCATTTATTAAAGGGATTGTAGAGAGGTTTTCTCAATTTTTTTTTATGTGTATCGGGGACACTGATAACATCAATTTGCACCATTTTAATTTTCAATCAGACGTCTATGGTCCCTGCAATTCATTTAAACCCAAGTGTTTGATGAAGTCACTAATTGCGAAGGGCTTTATGTGATAAAGCATAATTATTTTGCTATTAGTGACGTCATAAAACAGTAGGTTTTAGTGGAATTGCAGGAACCACGAACGTTTGATTGAAGATTGGAATGGTGCGAATTGACTGTATTAATGTTCCCGACACACATAAAAATTTCGAAAAACTCTTCACAATCCCTTTAAACAGTGAGTTTTTTTAAGTTAAACACGAATAATATCCTTTGGTTTGCAATTCAATGAATGTTTTGTTCAAGTCTTTTTGATTATGTATTTGTTTCGTTGATGACTGTAACGTTTGTGGGACAAAATGTTCAAAATTTGAAACAGGGGTCGTAATGCACAGTGTATAATCAAACATATTTATTACAAAATGTTATTCGAAAACCAAAGAAAATTTTTACTGATAAAAAGGAAAAGAATCAAGGAAGCAGTTATAAACAGTTTGTTTGTGATACCAGTGGCCCACGTGAGCGCCATCTGCAAAGTTAAAAGCGATTGGTATTAACGCCTATTCTGAAATTGTACCTATTGCCTATTGCAATTCAAGATTTTCCGCTTTCAAAAGAGATTTTTGGTTTGATATTTTCTTTAGACAAATGGTCTAACAAACTAAAAAATGAATTTGACAAAAAAAAATCAAAGAATACAAAAAGATATAAATATACTTAACAAAAAGTTACGTTTATTTCCATCCTTATTGAAAATTGTGTACAATAAAACTATTTGAATGAATTTAAGAAAATCTTTTCAAAGGGCAGGACAATCGGACATTGTAGTCATTTTTACTGTTTTTTTTTTCAATACAAAACTTTGTTAACAAAAGTATAACAAGAAAACGATTTCAGATTTTTGAATAATCAAAATAATGAAATTTTTCGTCTCGCTTTGTGGCTTAATTCGAAGTTTATGCGTCGTGGAAAAAAGAAATAAACAAAACTAAAAGTGCATTTTCATTTTTGATTTTTTTTAGTGCTAGAATATATTGAATAGTCTACACAAAGTCGCACTTTTACTTCAGATTTGTTAACAATTACAATAGGAAAAGGCTAGTGTGTTTCATTGAAAGCAAATTAGTTTGAACTCTGACTTGTCTTAGATGTATCATCTTTACCATCATCTTCACAATGGCAAGCTATTACGAACTTAGTCTTATACCTTGACTTCAGTCACTATTCGTGTATTACGGAAGTTTATAAATGTAGGGATTTGGTTGGCATGTACGTCAGCGAATACAGCCAATCAGAGTCATCTACAGAAAGTTTGTAAACAATAAGAAGATAGAAGAATATGTCTCTAGTGGTCAAGGTATAAGACAAACTTGTAATAGTTTGACAATTTTTTCAAATTGCTCCAGATAAATAAGGTGTACTTGAGAAGACACCGTCGCATTATTTGCGATAGAAAAAATTGACAACGTCAATACAAAGCCGAACAATTCCAACATTCTTTGCAACAATTACAATTGGAATACACTTTTACGATACCTATTATATTCGTTCTTGAAAAAAAAAATGAAAAACTTGTCAAAGTCAATACAAAGCCGAACAATTCCAACATTCTTTGCAACAATTACAATTGGAATACACTATTATGATACCTATTATATGATTCATTCTTGAAAAATAACGCATTTTGAATATATAAGAACACAATTCTATGCCATTATTTTCCATTGAAACTAACATTACAAAATTAGACAAGGTAACAATACGCCTTTGGAAGAGAAATTGGTTTGAACTTGGATTTATTAGATTTCTTTCGTATATATTGTACATGGCATAAAAGCATTGTAATTTCACATAATTATACATTAATACGTCTAAGTATTGTTAACAAAAGTCCACACAAAGCCGAATACTTTCTACTTCTTTCTTTGTAACACTAACAATCGGAAAAGCCCATTATATTTCTTTAGGAGAAAATTATACTAAGAAAGGTTTATGAAATCTCCATTCTAGGATAATGGATATGAATGGCGGCTTTGTTAATCCACTCATTATGAAGTTAGTAAAGGGATTAAGTCTACTAATCACCTTCCCACGGAATTGTGGGATGGGGGGTGGGAGTGTAGGGGGTGAAGGGGTTGTCATCATTTCATCATGGGTGAGTATGAACACGAAGAACAAAAATTTGCGGAAGTGACGACTGTCGAAATTGATCCCGATATTTTCAGCTGATAATGGCAACGATGTTCTATGTATGCCTTGAATCTTACAAGTTTTCTAGGCAGGGCATGCTTACCCTCTTGAACACTCGAAGTCTCTGTGGTTTATCAACCTTTGAGTTTACCTTTAAGAGAGTTCACACGATTGAAAATGTCAATCTGGTATTTTTTACTCCAACCACTACCCTTTGTAGTTCTACTTCGCGGCCCTGACCTTCAAAACTCGTCCTAATGGTGATTCCAAACTCTTTTTCCTTCACACTTTCGGTTTCTTGAGAACATAAATTGGTGTTTCTGCCATTTTCTTCTTTTTCCGTTCTGCCAGGAATTTCATGTGGGCGTCTGCGGCTTCTATTTCAGATGGAGACGGCGAGACGGTATCACAGATCACTCTTTCACAACACGGCCCCGCCTTTCCACATCGTCTTCTGATGGAAGCCCGTATTCCTCCAGTGTGTTCTTCTGAAAGTGGAAAGAATGAACATCATGTTGTCAGTATGCGACTGAGTAAATCAGCATCGACTCCATCTTGTTTTTTGATTGACTTTATTCTGTAATCAAGCCGCATTTCCAAATCTCGGTGATACAAGAAAGGTAGTTTTTGCAGTCAAGGTATTAGACATAGCATGGTAGACATGGGTTAGGTGTCCAGTGAATCAACTAGAGGAGATGGGGTCCCTCCCAATTGGTACATTCTTTTCTAATTTTGTATTTTTTTTCTGTGGTTAGGACTCTCTTAGGGGTGAGGGCCCGTGAACTTTGTTCAACCAATCCCTATGGTATTTGAGCCACTTGGGTTTATCTGGGGTTTGGCTGTAGTTGGATTATTTACCTGGATCCGGATTGATGCGAAGGAGTCCACTTTTATAACAAGCTACCAATATAATGATCAGCAGCAATCCCCCACCTGCAGCTCCTAAAGCAATCTGAAAACCTACAAGAATGAAACAGAGCAAAATTTGATAAAATGTTGTGTAAGTCTTATCCTACATTCTTACCTTTTGGATGCACAAGGAAATGATAGAAGAGCTTATCAGGTAATGGTTATCACAATATCTGAATAAGAAAAATAAACGTGGACAGCAGAAGGCTAACTAGTTAGAGAGAGGAGAAGAGAGGAGGAGAGGAGATGAGAGGGAATGGCAAAATGAACAAGTGTTTAGGACGCAGTGGTGTGGTGGGTACAGAAGCCGAGGAAACTAGCCAAAAATAGCAACGATGCAACTTTGAAAGCATCACAATAAACAAGAGGTCAATAAAGGGAAGGTTTGGTAAGGCAAGAGAAATGACGCAGCTAAGGTTTGGTAAAGAAGAGAAAACGAAGAAGATTGACAAAGAAGATTGAAGAAGAAGAAGCTGAAGAAGGAAAAGAAGAAGAACAGCAATGAATATATCACCTTGATGATCCACCGCATGATGCACATGATCCATTTTTCCAACCCTCCTCGTCTGTTCTTCTTCTGGTTTCTGATGTGACGTCATGTAATGTATGACGTAATATCACTTCAAGCTCCATCTGACGAACGTAACCGGTAGACATGTCGGTTTACTGTTACTTTCTAGGCCTATTTCTAAAACATGTACATGACTTTTTCGGCTAATTTTTTTTTAGAAAAGACCCAGTTATATTAAGCCATACATATAAAAGGGAGATTATTTCAAGGTAAAAGTGAAAAAAATCTGTACTTTATAAAACTATTCAAACGTTCTTGAAAGGTTTTCAATAAGCTAATCGTCTACATATACTTTTACAAAAGATTCTTTTGTGCTATTGCCACTATTGTGGATCTCTTTTCAGATAAAATTGCCCCTCTTTTCAAGCTTTCAATCTAAAACGACATTTTTATTAAAACGATCGACAGGAAAATGAACACTGGCTTTTTCAAATGGCTATTATAGTCAATAGTGGTTATACATTTGGGTATATCAATGGCCGACAATAGGCTTTCTAGTAATCTTAATATTGTCTATTCATTACTCCACTATAGTATATCATGCTTATTAATCCCTACTTTGCGCATTTCTTAAACTTATTCATGTTTTTGTATTGAACTTGAAAATGACGAATGTCCTATAAAAACACATTCTGAATGTCGTTGATGGTACAAAAAAAAATCGCCAGTGTTATTCGTTAGAAAGCAAATAAAGGAGAAAGAAGATCTTCCCAATGTCAAGATATTACGAACTTTGTCATATACCCTGACTGCAATAGCCACCTTTCTTGTATCTCACAGGTTTGCTAATGCAGTTATTTTATTGGATTGTACCTTAGTATCAACAGCCAATCATAGCATTCGACAGAATGTCTGTAAATGAAAGGCATGATGTTAACAGTCTATTTGTCGAGGGTTCCAATTGACTGTATTCGCTGGCGTCCAATCCAATCATATAGCTGCATACCGAGAATTGTAGTCAATGTATAAGACTAAGGTCGTAATAGCTTGTCATAGTGAAGATGGGGCCATCAATCCACGATAACTTGAGTCCAGAAACCATCCTGGATCATTCAAAATGGAAAACGATTGTAACTGTCCTGGGCCTAATTTGCTGTAGTCTGGTACACGCACCTGAAAAGTCAGTCGCCTAAAATTGCAAAATTTCTGCAACGTAAGTGTTTGGTGTACTTTATGTATGTAACCTTAATTCTTGGGATTGGAAAAAAAAAACACCATTATCTATGAATGAAGTCCTTTATTGGGTGTTAAACAATGTAATGATATATGTTTTGCATGTTCGATATTGTATTCCCATACATGCTAACACTATGCATTCTATGCATTATTATGCCCATTGTTATGCCTGTGTTATTTTGACAATTTAAATCTATGCCGGGGTCCAATTATGTCTATGCTCTTTGTCAACTTCTACAATATGCTTTTGACTGTAGGCATGCAATTCAAAGCGCACAATGTGATTAAAACGTGTAGTGTAATTTCACAGTTAAATTCCAGGGCGGCCATTTACATTAGAGCAAAAAAAAAAATGAAATTCGGCGTAGAGTTCGTGTGTAAATTAATATTAACGAAAACGTCATGTCTATACGTATCTATCTCATAGTCTCTCATTCACTTTGACTACCCTACCTAATCGTCTTATTCACCAATATAATAGACTTACAATTCATATTTGATAATATTTACAATGAATTGATTGAGTACTCTCAACACGGTCAACTCGTCAATTGGTATCGTCGTGTGGGAGATTCAACTCAAATTCCGTTCTACGACTGACGCGTAGCCTTGGCTAGCTACACGTACTTGTTGCCCCTCTAACAATTGTATGATATACGCCCTGTTCGTTTCTACCTTCAAAAAAATATATATAATTCTAGCTTTATCAATATACGTAAAACACCATTTAGTTTCATTTCATTTAAATGGCTTAGTTGGAACTTAATAACTAAAATCACATGGCAGGTGTCGCTGGCGATGTTCACTTTTCTACAACACCTGATGCCATTCTGCGACTATGGAATTATCAATTCGTATCCCTTCCGAGACCACATAGCTATTTTTTTTATTTAGGTCTAGTATATCTTTATTTACAATAACAGTAATTTAAAATGTTCTAAAGAGCGAGAAACAGTCGGTCAAAACGTTTACAAAATCATTTTTCAGGAAACATAAAAACGTGCCAGTTTTATCTAAAAAACAGACGATCAAATGAATTAGCTATTGACTGACTATAGTAGCTACACATGTCTGCCAACACGGCTTCAAAACATTGAAAAATATAGAATGTAATACTAAACCGAAACGCAAAGAAATTAATTTTTAAAAATCGACGTTTAAAGACTTACTTTATATTTGCGTTTCGTTTAAATGATTCTTTAACTTTTAAGAAACCGTGAAAAACTTGAATTTTAATTATTTGTATTGGTTGGCTTTTATCTTCGCTTTTTGTTTATTTTTCAACTTTAAACCAAAAGACAAAACGATTGTCAAAATTTGTTGAAAAGATTCAACGTTCGTACATTTGTTAAATCTACTTTCGTTTTGTGATTTTTTGAAATTTCGATACTTTTGAAAGCTGAAATACGTGTATCCGGGGCAGAAATTGGTTTTTGGCGGCATTTTGTCGTCGACTTAACACACGGTTAATGCGATTAAGATGTGCTATTTTTAGCTGCAATTTAACCTCACCAAAAATAGATATCGTTTAGGTAAAAATTTATGGGTCATCTTTACTGTACTTTTCAAAATGGCGATTTTTGTTTTTGCTACTTTGCTTATTGCTTCAAGGCATTTACAAAAGGAATCCTAACCTTTGAATGTGTATCAGAGACATACCTTCTATGTACTCCATTCCCATTATTCGTTTGATATCTGTTTGTTTGTAAATCATAAACACTTTTTCAAATTGTGCAAAGTCAGATCATCATGGTGTGCGAACACTACTTACCACGTGACCTAATAGGTCAATTAAGGTCAAGGTCGTATAAAAAAAGAAATTATCAGAAACTAAGGCCTTTGAGATCTAATAAGATATCAATAATATTAACAATTTTTTATAAAGAATTCGTTCTAAATGAGTGGTATTACAAAAATATCTTCTGATACTTAAAACATAAACCACGTGACCTCATAGGTCATTAAAGGTCATGGTCACTTAAGAAACAATTAGACCACGTGTGCTTTAAAATTTCCCTAAAAATATCAAAGCCCTTTGCATAAAATTTAAAACTTGTGCAAATTCAAATAATCACTTATGATATCATAAGCTATAAATCACGTGACCTCAGAGGTCAATTAGCGCTGTATATAATTTTTGAGGGCCACTTAAAAGATAAAGACTATAACAAGTTGAAACAATGCGATATATATGCAATATAAAGGGGCTTATTTTGTTGAGTACTTGAAACTACTAAAGTTTTATTATAACATAGAAGAGGTCTGATTTATATGGCTCTTGTAGCGTCTTGAGTCTATTTGCATTATTACATGTTTGATAATGTCGTTAAAGGGACACTGCCGACTAAATTTTTAAATCTTTATTTTAGCACCCTGTAACACTTTTCATAAAGCGGTCACTTACGTTTTGCTATGAAAATGACGGAAAAAATAAATCACCCGATATTGTACAAACGATAGGTAAAAAGTCGATACAATTCGAGTAAATGTTAAAATGACTAGCCTTTTTCATTCGGATTTGAATAGAGCTCCTTTTCCCGTACGCTTCTCATAATGAAAAACTGTCATAGATTAGTTTGTAATCAAATAAAATCTCTGTCACGATTTATGACTCGATTTACCAGTCATGTGCTGTTTAGTTATAATATATTAAGACTTATCTATTCGAGAACAAATTTAACTAAAGTCATCTTAACATTACAATACGACATTGACCGATTTTCAAAAAAATACTTAATGAGATGCAGAACAGTAGGATATAAAGCTCCATTTCAAGTCATTAGCTCAAATTTTTGTGTGCATTTATGCTGCATGCACGCACACAAAGCTCAAAAGCACTGGAAAAACAAAGCTTTGTTCATTTTGTAACAGTAACAATTTTATCTGATTAGTTTGAAGTTAAGGCTTTGAACACGCCTTTTATGCTCATTCATGCTATAATGGAAACGCTGCAGAATAAAATGCATTCGTTTACTGTTCCGGAACGATTCTAGGCGTTCAAAAGGAATATGAAAACGTCATTGTATCGGATTTGTTTGAAATTGTTTCAATGCATTTTCTAATAGATTTACTATTCATATTGGCTCTGAATTATTAAAATGATGCTTTATTCAGATTTTATAAATATTGTATTCATAAATTATCGGAGTTGCTATCTCTGTTTTTAGTTGCATTTATAGGAGCTCAACCATGTTAATCGTCGAAAAAATCTTTTTGTTTTTTTCTTCACTTTCATGATGCTTTGATGTTTGATATTTGATAATGTTTTGGCAATAGAATCTGTAGGCGTAAAGCTCCATTTCATTGCATTACTACTGTATAGGGAAGAAAGTCCCAAAAGTGTCCAGGTCGGGGGAAGAAAAACACCATATATATCCCTGTAAAGTAGGATGTAAAACTCCATTTCATTTCATTAGTCCAATAAGATACAGAACAGTAGGATATAAATCCCCATTTCATTTCATTAGTCCAATAAGATACAGAACAGTAGGATATAAAATTCCATTTCATTTCATTAGTCCAATAAGATACAGAATAGTAGGATATAAAACTCTATTTCATTTCATTAGTCTAATAAGATACAGAACAGTAGGATATAAAATTCCATTTCATTTCAATAGTCCCATAAGATACAGAACAGTAGGATATAAAATTCCATTTCATTTCACTAGTCTAATAAGGTACAGAACAGTAGGATATAAAATTCCATTTCATTTCATTAGTCCCATAAGATACAGAACAGTAGGATATAAAATTCCATTTCATTTCATTAGTCCCATAAGATACAGAACGGTAGGATATAAAACTCTATTTCATTTCATTAGTCTAATAAGATATAGAACAGTAGGATGTAAAACTCTATTTCATTTCACTAGTCTAATAAGGTACAGAACAGTGGGATATAAAACTC